AATTAATGCCAAAAGAACAATTAGATTTGAGTAATTTAACAATGAATATAAAAATGGAAGATCAAAATCCTCAAGTAGTTTTTTCTCCTAGTATAAAATATGCAGCATCCGAAGAGTTTACCAAAAAATATCCGTGAGTATATAATATTTTTATATTTTTATTATAACAATAATTATGGATTATTCTCATTTTCTATTTTTTATAGATATATCGATACTCAATCAAATAAAAAGTTAAATGCATCTACGGCATTTCAATTATTAGTAAGGCCTGGCTCATATACAATCAATTCTGGTAGTAAAGATAGTGATGATTCACAATTTCAATCTGTCAAATGGGCTACTAAAGAAGCTGGAGCTACAGTTATCATGGCTCTTTTAATTCATCTTGATGGATTTTAATTTATATAATACGAAAGTGAGAAAATATCACATGCGACTGTTACGAAAAATACACTTTCGTTTAAGATTGACGAATGTACATAAATATTATATACGTAATATAATTAATATTAATACGTAATTAATTAATACGTAAGATAATTTTTTAAAATCAATTTTTTATCTTGAATTATTCCGTCAAATCTCCATCATGTATATTTACGTTGAATACTATGTTAAGTATTTCAGTAAAAACAATAACGATCATTTCATAAAGATCTATTATGATTTTTATTATTTTGTTTTTGATTCAATATGTTCAGTGTTAAAGAACATATTGGTATAATCAGATATAATTTATTAATTGTAAACAAACTTATAATAATCAGTTCATTAAAGTACAGTAGCATGTATATCAAATACATAATACATATGTATTATGTTAAACATTTAATGTAGCTATTGGTCAAGGTTTATAGTGATAAAGATTATGTCGAGAAAATTTGCACCAAAGGTTCGTCGCTACATTAAAAAGGCACGGCAATTTTCAAGTTTTATGCCTAATAAATATCAAATTTTTGAATATTAATAAAATTTCTCTCTCTTTTTTTTAAGCACAACATAAAAAAATATGTTATCTATAAAATGTAGAAATAAAATAATAATGTTGTAAATCACATTGCAAGGCTACAATAGAGAATTCAGGTATAAAATTTCCATAAAATGAAAATATTCGGGAAATGTAATAACTATATTTTCAAATACGCTGTTTAGAATTGCATCTTTTTGTGAATATCATGTGCACTATTTATAAATGCATTCAAATAATACATGGAAAAAAACGAATGTGTCTGTCTTTTACAAACTATTCATTCAATCAATTTTATCATTATTTGTTTTGCTTTGCATTTTATTATTCTTTCTCTTAATATTATTTACTTTTTAGTTAAAAAAAAAACTATTAAATCAATTACAAGCATTTATATAAAATAACATTTTATAACATTTAATATATATAAGTAAACATTTAATATATATAATATGTAATATAATTTTTTTAAGGTTTTATAATTTTCCATAAAGTTATTATTTTCATATATCAAAAACTTCACGGGAATCATAAAATTCGAGTGAAGAACATTTCAACAAAAAATAAAATTTTTCTCTGTTTTAATTTCTTCTCTTATTTTTTTTTTTTTTTTTTTTTAATGTTGTATTAATATTTGTTTCATAATTCTACACCCAAATTCGAACATTTTGATCCCAGGAGCAAGAAGCAATAGCCATACCATTTCCAGTAACACTAAGCGATGTTACACGATTTTCGTGGCCCGTCAAAACACCTTTGAATAAAAGGTAAAGTCAGTCTAATTTTAAAAAACTTAATTCTGATATCTATACTATCAATTGAATATTCACCATTGTGTTGATTCTTCAATGTATCCCATATATGAATAGAATTATCATCACTTCCACAGAATATAAATCTTCCGCTTAAAGATAAACCACAAGATGTATATCCAGGATTTGAATTTGGAGGCTTAAAGGTAGCTAATTGCTGATCCGATCTTAGATCCCACAATCTCGCTGTCTTATCTTCCGAAGCTGTTACAAAAGCTTGTCCCGAAGGATGATACTGAATGGAACATAATTTTTTGCAAATAAGGTAAGCAAAAAATTATCGAAATTATATTATAATTAACAGTAATTAAATTTAAAATTGTATTTATATTTAATTGTTGTATTAATATTTGTTTCATAATTCTACACCCAAATTCGAACATTTTGATCCCAGGAGCAAGAAGCAATAGCCATACCATTTCCAGTAACACTAAGCGATGTTACACGATTTTCGTGGCCCGTCAAAACACCTTTGAATAAAAGGTAAAGTCAGTCTAATTTTAAAAAACTTAATTCTGATATCTATACTATCAATTGAATATTCACCATTGTGTTGATTCTTCAATGTATCCCATATATGAATAGAATTATCATCACTTCCACAGAATATAAATCTTCCGCTTAAAGATAAACCACAAGATGTATATCCAGGATTTGAATTTGGAGGCTTAAAGGTAGCTAATTGCTGATCCGATCTTAGATCCCACAATCTCGCTGTCTTATCTTCCGAAGCTGTTACAAAAGCTTGTCCCGAAGGATGATACTGAATGGAACATAATTTTTTGCAAATAAGGTAAGCAAAAAATTATCGAAATTATATTATAATTAACAGTAATTAAATTTAAAATTGTATTTATATTTATCAAATAGTCAGTAATAAAAAAATAATAAAACTTGCTATACTAACACAAACAGAGTTTACATCAGCTTCATGTCCAAAGAAAGTTTGTTTTGCTTTCTCTTCTCTTAAATCCCATAATTTACATGTTCGATCTACCGATCCAGTAACATACGTGTTTCCATCTGGAGATAAACTAATACTAACTACATCTCCAGCATGCGCGCAAAAATCTGTAGTTTTTTTGTTTGCTTCCAAATCCCATATACATCTATAAAGAAACTTTAAAATTAGTAGAAAATAAATATTAATAAAAAATTATTGTATAATTTTTTAGATATGGATACATTTTCATATCACCGGATCCAGTGATAATTTTTTTATCTTCCAAAAATCTGCAGGATGAGAGAAAACCTTCGTATCCTAATAATTCTCGAACGATCTTAGCTGATCCTGTGGCATCACGATTGTTCACATCATAGACAGTACACATATTGTCCATACCACCACAAGCAACGAAATTTCCCGAGGGTGCAAAAGCTACTGACATTACCCATGCTGAGCGCAATGGGATTACCTGGACTTTGTTTCCAGTCCATGAATCCCAAATGATCAATTTTCCATCCAGTGAACCAGTCACGCAATGTCTAAAAAGAGATACTTATTTAAATCGCTCAAAATTGGAGATATGTTGCGGTTGATTTCTTGGATAAAGATCAAAAGATCGATATTCAATACTAACCTACTATCACCACTATAATGTACCGAATTCACTTTATTAATATGTCCCTTTAGTAATTTTTTAGTAGATAATTTAACTTTTGGAGCATCTGCTACACTATTACATGTTTCCTCCAAAGTTGTATCTTGTTGTTTCTTTTGATCTTCCTGATATGTAATAGAACAAGTTTTCAATTGATATCAAGGTATGATATTAAAATTTTTTCTATTTAATTAATAAACATTTTTCTAATACCACCTTGCATCTATTGATCAAATCTTCTAGCTCTTTTTTTAAAGCTATGGTTTCTGCATCATCCTTCCCCATTTTCTAGTTGAATCTTACTTTATTTGGAAACTTATCAAGAAACTGAGATTGAAACACCAACGATGATAGACGTAGGAATACTGCGAATAAATTTTTATCAAAATGTAAAAGAAGCCTCAGCATCGTCTACATTACTGCCCCAGTAATCATATTAAATTGACGCTTAATCCTATTTGTTCGGCTCTCTGACTTAACTTAATTATCTACATATACAATAACCCTTATTATTCTTCATACGTAACTTTTTTTATAATATGATCATTATATTATATTTTTAAAATTCTTTACTTGTTTTTCTCATACAAAATATGTTTTACAGTTATAGGAAATGGAAAGAAGGAAAAAAGTACGCGGTTACGGTATATCAGTTCTTATAAAAAGTGTAATCCGTCGCGCTTTCGAATTTCATTTCACCTATAAATGATTCGATTTATTTAAATCGATTTAGTTCTATTGAATTATTGATCAGAATTAGATCTGTGTATATATAATCAATTTATATTTTATTTTTGTTGTTAGGAAAAGGAAAATAAATTTTGAAAAAACATATAATGTATCGTAAAAAAATATTTATTTAATAATTCTTTTAATTTTTTTTAATACATATAAAAAATTTGAACAAAATTAATTTTTATTTAATACAAAATTAAATTTAATATAAAAAAATTTACATTTTATCGATTATAAACTTATGTATCAGAATCATGATATACAAAAGAAGAAATATTATATTACTTAATGTATTAATATTAAGTTATATAAGTGTTGATGTATTAGCCAAAGAATTTTATTTCAGTTCATTTCGAGATGGTAATGAAAGTGAAGCATGTAATGAAGATATAACGAATATATTTAAACAAATTATTATTAAACGTTATAAAACGAAAAACTTTTGTGATAGCAATATAAAAGGTAAGTAATATTATAATATACTAGAAAATAATTGTAAAATTATTCATATAATATATTTTTTTTTATATTTTATTTGTTTAAGTTTAAAAAGTTATGAGACAAATTATTTTTGATATATTCAAATAATTCATAAAGAATTACCAACTTTAGAATTTAGAATTTTATTAAGTTGGTACATTGTAAAGTGACATCTTCAAAATATTATCGACAGTGCACATTTATTTAGTCGATAATTATTTTATACGTATTGCATACATGAAGTATTTGTAGTGTTTCGTAATTATAAATATATAAAATATTGCTATCTTTTGTCTAATATTTCAAATATTTTAAAGGTATAATAAAATCAATTTTTTATACTAAATCTATAATAAAATAGGAGTGACACAACATATACTAAAATTCGATACTGTGGTTTTTATCATTTTCAACTTTATTAAATTAAATAAAACACAGAGTAGTTATTCATATTTAAATTATTATTGGTTTATCATTAATCGAAAATGCCCACAAAAATCATTTTATATTTATTCAAAATAGTAAATGAAAGACAAGTGCCGAACGTAGTTGTCAAAGGTAGTAACTTTCGTTCAAAAAGTGTGGGAGTAGTTACGAACTTGCTTTCTGTCCTTCGGAAGTAGTCTTAGTCAGAACAGTGTATTTGATACGTTCTTCTGTGCATTCGCGGTACTTTTCAGTCTAAAATGCGTGCAAAGAACGTTGGATACTATCTTTTTTGGAGTCTGTTTCTAGCCTACCACGTGGTTAGCGAGACTCTGCCATCAATAGACAAAGACGGTAATAGTTTCATTGTAGCTCTCTTAACTTTATGATTAAAAAAGGAATATTTATCTAAGGAATGTTTTATAATTAAGTTAATGTTTATGAAAAATTCGTTTAAATTAATTTTTAATATAGAGAGAAGATAAATTGAAACAATTGTTAATGTTTATTTTATTATTTTTAATTATTAAGTTTTATTATATTGTATGATCAATCAGTTCGATAGAAAATACAAACAGGGAAAATACAAGTAAAAATTTTTTTTAGTTTATTTTATTATTTATTATTTTTATTATTTTTTTAAATTACATAATATTTTCAGTATTAATTTTATATGAAAAAATCATTTAAATTAAATCACAAAATTAATCATGATATGTGTCAGACGAAAATATTTTTTAAATTTTACAATATTTAAAATAGTAAAATAATTAATCCATTTTTCTAAATACTGTTTTATTTTATTTAACTCAAAATTTTTTGAAAAATTATGTTCATGGTACAAATGTTAAGTTTTACAAAGATGAAATCTTATAATAATCATATTTATTGTTTCTTTTATAATCTTTTGGAAAGGAAAGTTTTTGGTACATTGACCCTAAAAATGGTATAAGATCTTATAACTTGAGTTTTTTAATCGGTTATTTTAAAATAATTTATTTTTTACATTGGTGAAATCTAGATTTCATTTATTTTATTTATCAAGTGAGTGTGAACTAAAGACAATTTAACTTTTTTTATTCATTTATGTACGAGATTGCAATGTTTCTATCCGTAACGTAAGTTTCTTTAAAAAAGAAAATTATTTATTTTCTTGCCGATATATTATTTTTATTGAATTAATATTACAAAAAGAATAAAAGAAATTATTAAAAATTATTTAGAAAATATATAAACATATTATAAAAGTACTAATAAATATTTACTAATATTAAGAAATAATGAAAACCATTATAGTATAAATTTTTTAAAGAATTAATATATAATTAATTAATACATATTTACTTATAGATATTTATATTTATATATTTGATTAATATGGTTAGAGAAATATATAATTGGAACATTAAAGAAAGACAAACCATATCAAGTATATAATAATATGCATCCTTGAATCTTTATAGAGCAACTTGACACTTCTTACAATGATATAACTGTAGTAAAAAACTAGCAAAAAACTTTCAAATAATATTTTAAAAATTAATTGTATATATATATTTAAAATAATTATAAAAATTAATTATAATTAAAGAAATATATTTTACAATTACAATTTTATTTTAATTTATTATTTTACATATTTACAATGTATTGAAATAAAAGAAACGTTTAATTGTTTTTTTTTTAAGTAAATTAGATCATGCATGATATTGTTATCTTCTATTTCCGGTATATGGGCATATAACATTGTGAAGATATCTTTTTTTTTGAATCTTTTCTCGTTATTATTATTTTTTCTTTTCATGTATTTTTTTTTAATTATTTTTTTTAAATTAACTTAAAAAAAAAATAATACAATTAATTAATATTTTCAACAAAATATTATATCAGAAATCTCTTTAACAATTTTAGAAATAAAAAAAATATTACGCATATCTATATATTACCAATGTCATATTTGCTTATCAATAATTTAATTATAATTAAATAAATATATAAAAATGAAATAAATTCTTTTTTTTAATAGAAATAAAATTAATTTTTTCTTTATTTCATATAATTGTACGTAATTTGGAAATATTAGATTTTATAATTTTTTTGTATTGTAATCTTTTTAATAATTGAAGAAATTCATTTTACGAAACCAGTAGTTTTCTTGAGAGATGACGTGACTTTTAATGCGATGCAAGCTATATTATATTCGAATCATGATGTCACGTAGAAAATGTAGCGCTTATAAGAATCGTTTAGTTGCTACTCGTTCAATGAACTGAGTTCATATGTTGATATTATTTCTCCAGAAATAGATAAACTCTTTGACTTCTAAGAGAGTTAAGAATGCTATAAAAAGAAGAAACGAAAAAATTTTTCTCAATTTTACGAAATTTGTTCAAGTAAAAAATTTATTGAACTTTAAAAATTTATTTATTATTTATTGATTAATTGTTGTAATTTAGAATTATTATATGTTTAAATATTTTATATTTTTTAAAATTACATGTTCTGAAAATCTCTATTCAACATTTTTGCGAAGAAGTGATTGTTATAGATTTGAATTATTTATACTAACGAGTTATTATTGTGGTTTAAATTTAAATTTCCTGAAATTATGAGATAACTGTTTATTGTATCAGTTTTTTTTTTCATTTATATTAAAAATATTATAAATATCATTTAAATTGCAGATGTGCTCATATTCACTGTCGCTACGAAAGAAACTGATGGCTATAAAAGATATCTTAGATCAATCGATGTTTATGGATTTCGCGATAACTTAAGAGTTCTTGGTATGGGAACACCCTGGCTAGGCGGTGATCATGTAAAAACCAGTGTAGGAGGAGGATATAAAGTTAATCTTTTAAAGAAAGCTCTTGAAGAGTATCAAAATGATGATGAGAGGATAATTATATTTACCGACAGGTTTTTAGCATATTGATTTTTAATCTATTTCATTTTTAATTCATATTTTAATAATAGTCTATATGTTTCAGTTACGATGTAATATTTTTAAGCGATTTAACCGAAATAATCGATAAGTTCAAGAACATGAACGCTAGAGTTTTATTCTCTGCAGAAGGAGCCTGTTGGCCGGATAGATCATTAGCTTCTAAATATCCTCCTGTAACACGAGGAAAACGTTTTTTAAATTCTGGAGGTTTTATGGGATACGCTTCAGATATCTATGCGATTTTAACATATGCACCGATAAAAAACAAAGATGATGATCAATTATTTTATACTCTGGCATATCTTGATGAAAAATTAAGGGAACATCATAAAATTAAATTGGATCACAAATCTGTAATATTTCAAAATCTTTATCTTGCTGTAGGTAAGTAAATAAAGAAAATAGAATAAAGATAATGAAGTTTATAAATTTATTTTTGTACAGGTGATGTAAAATTAAAATTTGAGGGTGGAAAGGCTTCCCTTTTGAACACTGTTTATAACACAGAACCATTAATACTTCATGGAAATGGTTATAGCAAAGAATCATTGAATTCTTTGGGAAATTATTTGGCCAATGCATGGAGTCCTGAAGAAGGATGTATAATGTGCTGGGAAGGAACGATAGAATTAAATAAAACGATACCAAAATCATATCCGATTATATTAATCGCTATATTTATCGAACGACCAACTCCTTTCTTGAACGAATTTTTAACTACAATATATCAGCAAGATTATCCAAAATCGAAACTACATTTATTTGTCCATAACAATGTGGAATATCATCAAGATGTAGTCAATAGTTTTATGAAAAATTTTGGATATGAATATAATACTAGCAAACTAGTTTCTGTGAACGATGCTATGAATGAAGTTGATGCAAGAAATTTGGCTATGTATGTATTAGAAACGTATTTAAGTAAATTATTTTATATTAAACTTTTTTATATTTTAAGATAAATATTATTTTTTTAGGGATTATTGCTTATTAAAAGAATGTTCTGGATATTTCTCTATTGATTCTGTTTCTCATTTAGATAACAAATATACTTTGAAACTTCTAGTAGAACAGCAACGAGAAATAATCGCACCATTATTGGTTAGACCATATAAAATGTGGAGTAATTTTTGGGGTGCTATAATGGACGATGGATTCTATGCTCGAAGTTTCGATTATATGGATATCGTGAAAAATGAACGCAGGTAAAAATATTATAATCTGTTTCTTTAATTATAGTAAATTATATTTATTATCTAATTCAAAATGTATATACGTATACATTTCGAGAATTAGAAACTTGAAACTATATACATTTCGAGAATTATTTCTTGTTTTTTTATGACTAATTATTTTAAACAGTATCTTAAAAGTAGTAATTTTAGACTTTATCTATAATTATATCAAACTACTTTAGAAAATTTAAACTTAATCAAAAGCAATAGAAAAGTCAGTCTTGAAGGATCTTCGATCGATACTGTACATGTTATCAGCTGTACATTCGTAAACTCCAGCATCCATTTGAGTTGCAGGATCTATTTCCAATTTTGATTTTACTTTATCTTCTCCAACTTGCCATTCATGCACCTTTATATAATACATTTTTATCGTTATATAGTTTCATATTTGATTATCGTAATTAAGATTATCTATACTAACATGCAAATAAAGATGAGTATAAATCTCAGCACCATCCTTGAACCATGTGATATGTGGTCGTGGGTTTCCACGTGCGACGCAAAGGAAAACAATTTTGTGTCCTAAAACGTACTCCAAATCAAAGTGTGATGCCAACAATATTTTTGCACCCTAATTAAATATTTTTGAAAAACAATGAAGTAATTAAAGTATGAGTATATTTTATCTACAAATCTATAAATACGTACATTATGATTGTTATAATATTGATCACTTTCTGGATCACGATATTTTCCAGTGATAGGTAATCCTATTTGGACACGCGATCTGGTTTTTCCTCTACCTCGTCCTCTTCGTCCAAGAATTTCCTGACTATTTAGCAGTAGTACGATTAACAAAAATAATATCATTGTAGAACGTGGCATGATAGTTTGAGAAAAGTAACCAAAAATGGATAGCCAAGTCGATGCTTAAATTAAAAAAAATAGAGAAGTTTATTATAATATGTCGCAGATATTCACCGAGTACAGACAACGTTTGACACAGAACTCCGATGTAACTAACAGTCACCTACTCATTGCTCCCCTAGTGTTCTCTCCTATCTATTACAGATGTATAGGCAGATACTGCTAAACTACATGTATTATATATACATATACTGGTCATTTCTTCAACACCTATTGCAACTCGGTCATCATTGAATTCTAAATCGATTGATAAATTCCACATGATACTGGCTAACAAACATGAGTCGTAT